TGCATATTTCTTGAGAATCTCTTGCTCACGGGTTGGGAATGCAATATGTCAAATTGGATAATCAATAGAAACTTGTCACGAAAGTGCAATTGAGTTTAAAACATTCAAAAAGTGCAATAAACGGAAGGACTCGTTTAGATCAATTTGACAAGTTTCAGGATTTGATTGTATTTTTTGAAACTCATAGGACTTGATTGTACTCTCGCGACGAGTTTTAGGATTCGATGACATTTTTTCGAAAGTTTAAGGGCTCGATTTTACTTTCGTGATAAATCTTAAAACTTTTGATGCACTTATTCCTATTTAATTAGTGTAATTAAGATTATGCGGATTTGTGTCCGATTTCTTAGACGAAACAAGTGGGACAAGGAATGTTAAAATCTCGATCTTTACCTCGGACAAGGACGGACATCTTTTTTTTCGGTTTCGTTCGCACATCGCGTTCTGCGTGGGGTCATGCAGACGATGGTTGGATTTCGAGACGTTGAAAGTGTGAACAAATTGGGGGAGAAAAAAGACGTGCTCCTGACGACTTCTCTGCCATCGAATTTCGTCCCCCTTTTTTTTAATCAATTATTTATTTTACGAAGGAATACGGCTTCTTTCTAGAAGTAGTTGGAGGGGGCATTAAAAATTAAAGTGAATGAATTGGAGGAGATAGTAATGTTTTAAGAAGTGGTTTCTTCTCGTCGTCGTTTGGGGGGCTATGAACGTTGAAAACGACTCTGCGCTGACTTGTTGATGTCTTTATTTTTTACGGTTTCAGTAAGGATAGCGCTCCCAACTTTAATAGTAGTTCTAATTTCACGGGCGAAGCTCGGCCTCTTCCATTGATCAACGAATTCTCACATTCGTGACAGTTTTGCTATAGTCTAGCTCCATTTTGCACATTTTCTATCGTTCTAGATTTCCGCACAAGTAGCGCCTTCCAAGTATACTATTACTTAGCATGAGAGCATCGTTGCCATTTATTTTTTCTATGAGCGTTACTATAAGAATCTCACACTGGTCAAGGAACGTTTGGTTTGAACTCTTTGTCCAACGATACAATTTTATATTAAAAATCGTTATCTTGAAAAAAAAAAGAACTTATTATGTTTCCTTGAATTATTATTGTAATAACCGATATTTGACACATTTCACTTGATTAAATAGAATGGATCACATCAATGAAATGCTTTCTTTATCTTAGATTTGAAAAGATCATTCACATGCGCCTTGGGCAATTTGTTATGGACAGATGGGAGCCCTCGAATAGAACAAAATGCGAATGGAAGTGCCGTCCCTTGAACTTAATTGGCTACTTATGTTGCATGTTTGTTTTTTTCGTGGATTGATACTTTTCATATCCCAATATGATTTATTGTTTATATATGATGTGCCCACCATTTCCAAAAATTCTCTCTCAAGGAAATAGGAAGATGGGACCTAGTAGTCTAGTAACCTTATTTTCCACGAATCTAGCCCAAACAACATTGAATGAAAGGATTATGGGCCTGTTTGGTTCAACTTTGAAAATGCTACTTGGGGGAATGCAAATACCTTTGGGTGAAAGCCCATTGGGGAAATGCAAATGGTGTTTGGTAAAAATATTTTGTAAAGCTACTTTGGCCAAAATATAGTGTTTGGTGAATTTTTTTTGCAAATGGACTTTGGGAATAAAAAACCTAATTTACCCTTCACCAGAGCCGGCGCCGGCCGGCCGCCGGCGAGCCAGATCTGGCGCCGGCCGCCGTCACTTGAGGTCGGGCGATCGCCGGCGGGCTAGATCTGGGGCCGGCGGCCGTTGCCCGAGGCCGGGCGACCCTCGCCGAGGGTCGTGGGACCAAGCGGCGCACGGGTCGCGCGACCCAGGGCGTCGGCCGCCCGGGTCGCGCGACCCGGCGGCCTTGCCGAGGGTCGCCCAGCCTCGGGCGACGACCGCCGGCCTCTTGCCGGCCCGATCCGGCGCCGGCCGCCTCGCCGGCCTCCCTCGTCGGCCACCTCACAAAGAAGAAGATGAACAGTACACACGAGGGGCAAAAGTGGGTTTTTAGACAAATTTTAAGGGCAAAAAATGCAACTAACATATTTTCATTAATTGGGTATTAGTATTCCGAGAATGCTGAAAGCTCAAGGCACCCTTTCAACCTTGAGAAGGCCAACATTTGGCCAAAGAGTCCCAAAAATAATTTGCCAAACACTCCATATTTCCCCCAAAGGGCTTTGGAGGCTGAAAGCTCCTTCACAAAGCCCAACCAAATACCCCCTATGACTTGCTGCATCTCTTATCGTTGATGTTCTTGTTTATCAATAAAAGAACGTGAAGTGAAATCAATTCAAATTATATATTTTCCTTTATGGAATGAAAGATAAATTTTGATTATGGGAAATTTCTCGGGTCTTTCCAGTAAATTACGCAACTCGATGAAAGAGACTTCTCACGACTTAAAACGTGAAGTGAAATCCATTGATGTTACATATTTTCTTTTTGGTGGGTATCGATTAGAATAGTTGATGTCTCAAGCATTTGTTTGTTTGTTTTCTTAGTTTGGGATCTAGTGCGTGGGTAGCTGAGCGTTGGTGCATTGTTAGCTGTAAGAATCAAATAGCCTTTGTCCTGTTGTGACGTGGGGGAATATATGTACGGCACTGACCAAATTACGAGAGCTTATGAATTTATTCTAAGACTATAGTTTTAATGAAACGAGGATGAGGAGGGCAAAGGATGCGTGTGACTCTACTTTCGGCGCGTGCATACATTAGACTCCTCCGACACTTGCTGATATATACTGTTGTTTGATGAACCCACTCAAATACTAGTTGTGCTATACCCGATCAAATGCATCGGCTTGGACTTATATGGAGTGTGGAAAAGTTATTTAGTTTAATAAATTAGCAGTGAAGTGGAATCAATTTTCCTTTTTATCGAAAATGCATCCTTCCATTTCATTTAAGTAGATAAAGTGAAGGACCCAAATGAGCTTCAGCAGACAAAACATCCAAAAGGGGTTTAGGGGGCTGGAAAACCAGCACTGAGGAAGAGTGCTGCGAAGTTGAGCTTTAGTGATCCAATCCGGTACTTTATTTTGGGTCGTAGAGCAGTGGGATAAACATTAAAAAAAGGCATACAAGAAAGCAAGGCCCGACAATCTTTGACTGCTACTTCAACATATTTGTCTTCACAACATCGAGACATATTACAATAGGCAAGAGAAATAATTACCATGGTTTGAGGACATAATTACTTAAATCCGATGAGCTGTGTATGGTTATATGAGAGAGAGAGAGAGAGAGAGAGAGAGAGAGAGAGTTATCGAGTACATAATAGATTAACATATCACTCACTGATTACATAATAGATTAACATATCACTCAATTAGCGAATATATCTGGATAGTTTAGCAAATGATTATCATTTGCAAGAGAGATAACACTTTGAAAAGAGAAAAAAAACACAATTTTTTAGCTACTCTCTGGCGTTACTGAATGTTTAGTGTGAACTCTTTGTCCAATGATATAATTTTATTTTAGAAATCGTTATCTTGAAAAAAATACTTGTTATTTTCCCCTTGAATTTTTATTCTAATAACTGATATATGACATATTTTACTGGATTATACATCAATGAAATTCTTTCTTTATCTTAAATTTGAAAAGATAATTCACGTACACCACGGGCAATTTGATATAGATAGATGGAGTCTTCAACCCACTGAATCAAACAAAATGCGAATGGGACCTGGTAGTGCCGTCCCCTAACTCAAGGAAATAGGAAGATGGGACCTGGTAGTCTAGTAGCCTTATTTTCCACGAATCTGGCCCAAACAACATTGAATAAAGGATCATGACTTCTTGTGTCTCTTGTCGTTGATGTTCTTTTTTGTCAATAAAAGAACGTGAAGTGAAATCAATTCAAATTATATATTTTCCTTTATGGAATGAAAGATAAATTTTCATTGTGAGAAATTTCTTGGGTCCTTTCAGGAAATTATGCAACGCGATGAAAGAGACTTCTCACGACTTAAAACGTGAAGTGGAATCCATTAATATTACATATTTTCTTTTTGGTGGGTATCAATTAGAATAGTTGATAGAATATTTTTAATTAGATCAATTTATTTGTGTTTTTATTGTTATCTAGTTGAGTAACGACAAAACAAACAAGGGAATTGCTATAGAACCGATAACACATAGTGCACGTGGAGAGTTACACTTCTTCTTTCAGTAAATCACACTAGTTTAAAACAAACAAGGGAATTGCTATAAAACAAACAAGGGTTCCTATTGCTAGTATATTGTATTTAGAGAACCTTTATTATTTAGCTGACACTCTAGAATAAAAAATCAATTACATAATAGACTACCATATTATTCAATTAGGGAGTATATTTGGATAATTTAGCAAATAATCTTTGCAAGTTAATAGGGCGTAATTTTTAGTTAGAGGGAAATGAATTTTCGTCGGCTAGAAGGATATTACTTTGAAAAGAGGTGAAAAAAGGAATTTTTTAAGCTACCCATCTTGACCTTATCATAGGAATCTTACCTTCGTTACATAATTTTCGATTTTAACTTTTTGTCCATTGAGAAAATTTTATCTTAGAAAGTAATATCTTGAAATAGAGATATATAGTATTTTTTTTCCTTTAAAATCTTATTCGAAATGTAACCTATGTATAACGTATTTTACATAATCAAATTTAGATGAATGAAATGTTTTCTTCATCTTAAATATGAAAACATCATTAAATGCATCGAACTTTTGTGGAATCATGCATTCACGGACACTGCGATAATTCTTTTATGGGCAGATGGAGTCCTCACTCATTGAATTGAACAATGTGGGAACGGAAGCGCCGTCCCTAAATTCAAGAAAAGAACACCATCATCAGTCTTGCTATACCCGATCAAGTGTGTCTTACTGACTGAATTGTCAGACTCCACTTCCACGAAGGCTCATCTCCCCGTGTTCTCTCTCCTCTATTCTTTCATAAAGATTCAAGAACTACTGGCCTTCGAGCAATAAAGCACTACTGGCCTTCAAGCAGTGCAAGGGCTTCCGCGTGAAGGGTCGATTGAGCCCGAATCAGACAAGCGAATCCTCCCGTGAGCTTCCCTGAGGCGTCTCGGCACACACCGGCGACCGCACACGACATAGAGCCAGCAACGAAGGCCGCGTCCGCATTAAGCTTAAGAGCTCCTTTCTCCGGCGGCGTCCAGATCGCAGGTGAGATCCCTTCTCGTTCTTGTTTTTTTCTTTCGATTCGCGCGGCAAGTTTTGATATCTTCGTGCAAGGCTATCGCTTCATTATCAGTCGCTTGCGGGTCCGGTGATTTGCCTCTAAAAATCGCACTTTTTCTCGCCTTCCACCGGAACCAGAGTGCTTCGGAAACGAGCTCGAGACACGGCAAGGCTAGTAATCCACTCTTGTAGCTGATCTACGCTTGTGAGACCTTGATCTTCAATTCGGATTTGTAAATTGTGGTCTGACCAAACTTTGGTTGTCCAGGGACAAAGGAGAAAGAGGTGTTCTGGTGTTTGGGGGGGCGTCTTACACACTGGGCACAGTGGGTCAGGTAAGTTTCTTCGCTTGAACAAGTTTTCCTTTGTAGGCAAGGCATTTTGGCAAAGTTGCTAGAGGAATAGTTTGATTTTGGGTAGGGTGTTCATGTTCCACCCTTTAGAGCATAGGCCTCGTGGTATTTGGTGCGAGGACGCGGCTTGTTGATTGGCTGGGCTGCCTGCTTCTTTTCTGAGATGATTGTACCCGCTTTTAACTGAGTAATTCCCTGATTTGGCTGCTGTCCATACTAGTCTATCTTTCTCTTCCACAAATGGGATGGGGATGGCCAAGATTTCCTCCACAATACTGTCTTCAAACAAGCTATAAGGGCTTTGTTTTTCGCCTGGTCTCTATCAATCAGTTCATACACTAATTGGGGATCATCTTGGTTTGATGGACTTGCAATTGTGCCCAATCTTTTCCACTTGTCTTCACGAATTCTAATCGATTTTCCATTCCTTACTGACCATTGAACTGAGCCAGCTAATGCATCTCTTCCGATCAGCAAGTTGTGCCACCCCCAGGACAATCTTTGTCCTTTCCTCTCATGCCAAAAATCAGTGTCGGGGAAGTAGAGCCCTTTCAGTATTTGGCACCAAAGCGTCGAAAGTAATTAGGTCAGCATTTGCTCAGCATTGCCCTATTAAATGTCATTAGGTCATGAAAACCCATACCTCCACGGTCCTTCCTCTTTTTCATTACCTCCTAGCACTTCCAGTGTATACTGGCCTTGGAATCATTGTTTTTCCACCAGAATGAGGCAATCTTTTGTTCAATGGCTCTACAAAGGGAAAGCGGTATCTTGAAGATTGACATGGCATGTTGCGGGAGTGCCTTGACAACCGTTTTCAATAGGATCTCCATTCTAGCCTTTGACATTATCTTTTCCTTCCACCCTTCAAGTTTCATAATTACCCTGGCCAATATCCAAGCGAACATTTGTTTTATTGATATGCCCTAATCCAAAGGGATACCCAAGTATTTCCCTGTTTTGTCTATTTCTGGGACTCTCAATTCCTGCGCCATATTCCTACGAAGATTCTGGGGGCAGCCTGAGCTAAAGAAAACACCTGACTTGTTTAAATTGATTGCCTGGCCCATGGCAAAACAGTATTGATTGAGAATGTTAGCCAGGTTTTGGCATTCTATAACTTTCCCTTTCGGGAGAAAGATAGAATCGTCCACAAACAACAAGTGGGAGAGACTTGGGCCATGTCAATTAGCTTTATTCCTTTTACTCTACCATCTTCAACTGCTTTTAGTAAGGAGAGGACATTAGCCACAAGTATAAAAAGATAAGGTGAGAGAGGGTCGCCTTGTCGGATTCCACGTGTCGGGTTGAAAGAAGGCAAAGGCTCCCCATTGAACTTCACACTAAATAAGATAGTAGTGACACATTGCATGATCCACGAGACCCATTTTCTACGGAAACCCATTTTTAGCATACAAGCTTCCAGTAAGTCCTGCTCAATCCTGTCGTAGGCTTTTTGCATATCTAATTTCAGCACTGCTTGGAATTTTTTCTTCCTTTTGCTGATTCGTAGTTGGTTTAATACCTCTTGAACTATTAGGATATTATCCTGAATTTGCCTTCCACTAACAAAGGCACTCTGTTATGCTTCAATCAATTGAGGTAGCCACGTTCTTAACCGGTTACCCTGCACCTTTGAAATGATCTTGTACGTGAAGTTGCAAAGGCTGATGGGTCGGTATTGTTAATTAGAACTTGACGTGAAATCAATTGATATAATTTTGGGTCTGTTTGTTTGATGGAAATTAGTGGAATTGTTTTCATGAAAGATGAGTCATTTTCTTATGTTTGATCGTGTTGAAAATCACTTGAAAGAAATTGTGGTGTTTAACAAAAAATGAAATTGATTGGAGAATCCATTACAAATTGCCTTTAAAACGACAGTGCAGTCATGTTTAGAACCAATTCACAAACTTCGAGCTCAAATAAGTATTGTACTTATTGTTCCCGGTGCGAATAATAAACGAGACGAGTTTATGAAATCAGATTTGAACTTGTCCTGTTGTGGCCTGGGGGAAAGTTTTGAGTTTAGTAAATTGGATCGTGAGGTGGAATCAATTGAAATTATTAATCAGAATGGTTTATAAAATAATATTTTATTGCAGGAAATTTCCTTAGCCCCTCCCACGATTCTTTGGCTCGTCCATAAATACCTCCAGATTTGCATGCATTAGACACTACTCTCTTACATCTCTCTCCTCATTATTCAACTCGACCACTACCCTTTAGCTCCCGAAGATTGCGATGAGGGAATATTCGGATGGAACAGTGGCGTCGACTAGTAGAGGCGATGTTGAGTCGTCGCTGGGGGCTGAATACGAGGTGTTCTTGAGTTTTAGAGGGCCTGACACTCGCCAGAATTTTGCCGATTGCCTCTATCACGCCATGGATGGAGCTGGCATTCGCGTTTTCAGAGACGATGAAGAGATCAGAAAAGGCGAAGATATCGGAGGCGAACTGAAGCGTGCGATCGAGAGCTCCTCAATCTGTATTCCCATCTTCTCTAGAAACTACGCTGTCAGTGCGTGGTGTCTTCGTGAGCTTGCATACATGGTGTATTGCAAAGCGATGATTCTGCCGGTCTTCTTTGACGTGGAACCCAGAGATGTCAAGCTTAAAACTAAGCTGTACCATGATGCTCTGCAGAAGCACGAGGAGAAGTATGGCTGCGAGGTCGTGCAGATATGGAAGAAGGCTCTGGAGAAGGTCCCTGATATGAGCGGATGGGATCTCAAAGATACCGGGTAAGGTTTGGGCTTTTATTTTTTTCTTTGATTAGATATTTAATTGATATAACTATAAATAATAAGAAATATTTTCGTCCTTGCATTAAAAGATACAACTACCCATTGTTCTCTTTTTCATCAAATTGTCACTCAATCTCCACATATTTTATAACTACTCACTACACATCCACTCAATTAAATCAATTCCTTTCAAAACTAGATGAGTTTTCTGACCAATTAAATCAATTCCTTTCAAAACTAGATGAATTCTCTATTTAGACATGACAAATCCAATCTGAATTCATTATTCAATTTGCATCATTTAGATTGAATAAAAATACCTTTTTATTAACTTCTAAAATAATTTTATGTAGATTTGATTTAATAAAACAATTGTTCTAGCTATTACTATTTTACTCCATGCAAAACTAGTAAACCGAGCACACACTTTGTATGAGCAATAAAAAATGAATAAACAAATCCTTTGCATATATATTTAAAGGAAGAAAATCCGTAGGTTTCGATTTTTACAATTTATGGATGAGGGAGCATCTTTTTCAAAGTTTAAGATTTCATTCTTGTCTTACCAATTTACATCTTTGACCATGGTATAAAATACACAATTGCAATTCGTTTTAAGAAAATTGACTGGATTTTGGTTGATTTTTCTGAAAAAAGGAGTATGGATTGAAAGTATACGTGAGATTACTTTGTATATAATATAAATTAATATACTTTTTTGAGGAGGGTGGCAATTCACTTATGGTTGATTTTTTTCCTATATATCTACAGAGTATATATGCAAAATATTTTTGGGAGGGGGATGGTCGCCCCCGCTTCCTCCCCCACCCCTCCTCTATGGTTTGGTTTATGTTTAATTCATAATATTTCAGAGCTCAATTGTTTAATATTCTATTTGGATGTTTCTTACTAGACCCTTTTATCAAATATGACAGTTACGGCAAACTCATTAAAATAATCGTTGCTGAAGTTTCGATCAAGCTGAATAAAAGAGACAAAAAGCTGCCGGATCATTTAGTTGGAATTGAGGATTGTGTTAAAGATGTCATGCGCCTAATAGACGAAGGTTCACTTGATGTACGTTATCTGGTAATCCATGGAATGGGGGGCATCGGTAAGACGACTCTTGCCAAAGTTGTCTTTAACCAAATTTCGAGTCGATTTCATGGGTGTAGCTTTCTTTTGAATGTTCGAGAAGCTTCAAGGGGCGGCAATGTCGTTCAATTGCAAAAACAATTATTGTCTGAAATTCTCAACATCAAACAAGTGGAGATTTCTGACTGTGATGCAGGGATTAATCAAATTGAAAGGAGATTCCGCAACAAGAAAGTCCTCATCGTTCTCGATGACCTAGATAAGCATGAACAATTCTCAACACTTGCAGAAAAGCGTGATTGGTTTGGTCTAGGGAGCAGAATTATTATTACGACGAGGGACACTAACTTTTTGCCAATTGAAGAGGAGAACCGAGAAAATAATGTCCAGACGCATTTCAAAGAGTTTTCAATCTATCAAATGAGAGAATTGTCCCATCGCCATGCTCTTCAGCTTTTCAGTAAGCATGCATTCAAAATGGATTCTCCTCCACATGATTATGATCATATTTCTCATGATATTATTTACAAAGCCGGGGGACTTCCTTTGGCTCTCGAGGTCATCGGCTCCTCTCTTTGTGGCAAAAGTAAACCACTTTGGAAAGCCACGTTGAAGAAATTAGATTTAGTTCCCAATCAAGATGTCAGTCACAAATTAATGATTAGCTTTGATATGCTAGAGGATGAACAGAAAGAAATTTTTCTTGATATTGCATGTTGCTTTATTGGTGAAGAAAGAATCCATCCACATTATATGTGGAAAGCATTGGATTTTTCCCCCAAAATTGAGATCCCTGTCCTTTCTCGTATGTCTTTGATAAAGGTTGATGGTAATGACAAACTGTCGATGCATGACCTGCTAAGAGACCTTGGAAGAGAAATTGTTCGAAAAGAACACAAATTTCTGGAGGAGCGTAGTAGACTATGGTCTCCCAAGGATGCGTTGAACGTAGTGCAGCATAGAAAGGTACATTTTATTCATAGCTACCGTCTTTTCGATCATGGAAACATCAGCTCAAAGCTTAGAGTATATTCCTGGATGTGTTCTTTTGTCTGTGTTGTGCATCGCATAAAACTAAATTTGTCAATTTTGAGTGAAATGAAAGTAATATCATAACTCATATCTGTTGGTTGTTGGTCT